ATCCGTTGAAAACTCTGTTAATGTGCTGACATGGCACATGTATGGGACTCATAACTACACTTATGTGTTGCCATGTGGGTTAAAAAAATATCAATTTGTAAAAATTGCTTAAAGGTTTTCAAACCATAAAGAAAAACTAAAAAAATGAAAATGAGAAGGTAAATTAACAAACACCAACCCAAAGGGGCCAAAACTCAAAACTTCATCCGCCATCGGCCCCCCAACTCTAAACGCACAAACCACCTCAACCCAGATTGGACCCCTCCCTTGACAGCCCTGCCACTCACTACCCTCCCCCACCCACCCACCGAAAATCCAACTACACATTTCCCCAATCTCCAGACCTCTGTCACCCGAGATCTTCCCAGTTATTTGTGCAAGACCGACCAAAAAAAAAAAAAAAAAAACAATCTGTGCAAGGCACAAATGCTACCCCCTTTGTCACTAAATTTTCTCTCCTCTCTACAACCCAAACAGAACCACCTTAATAGTTTTCATACTGATACAATAAATCGGTGGTTGAATCAATTGAGGCACATCTGCAGTTCAACTTCATCTTTCCATTTTCTAGAGAGGGAGAGAAGAGGGGAGGGAGGGGGAGGAGGGGGGGGAAGCGGGCGGTTTGGGTGTTTGGGGATTTGGATTGGTTGAATGTGTGCCACATCACACAAATGTAACTTTAAACGAATTTGGACAAAAGGACCAAACTGATGTGTGTGAACAAACATGGAGGACCAAATTGATTGAACTGAAACACTGTGAATGAAAATTATGATTTTCCAAACATCAAGGACCTTTGTGATAAAAACCCATACATAGAATAAACATACAGTACAATATGTATAATTCAATAGGAAGCAGAATTCTTCGATTCTATATATCTTCTCGAAAACAGAATTTTGACATTTTATTTGGTGAAATTTTGTTTGCCAGTATCTTCAACAAAGTATTGCTTTTCTTTTTTGGGTCTGTGAGATTAAAATTTTGGTCTGAACGACTTGGGTTTCAAGTTGCACTCTCAGCAATCAAAATGGGAAAATCGGCCTTGATATATACACTTTTGCATCGGGTCTGGAACTCTGACTGAATTTGAGCTTAGGAAGAGGTACTACACTTATAAATGACAGTTTCAGTTGCAGAAGACTACCTTGTCCACCAACAACAAAGCCTTTTCTCACTAAATGGGGTCGGCTATGACTACCTTTTCCATCAAGTGATAAATTAAAACTAAAAGAAATGATACTGGCCTGAATTTACACTCAGATGTCAGTGTTATGTGCACAAAATTCGCCCCCCCCCCCCTGCACCAATAAATTACCTAGTCTCAGCTGGCATAGGACTCATTTCTATCAAAGTTAAAAGTTTGAACAACTAAAGAATGATACTTGTTGTGACCTCTCTCAGAAGCAGTGTTTTAAAAGGCTCGCCTAAGGGAGCGCCTAGGCGGCCTCTGAGGCTGAGCGTCAGTGTTCCTGCCTCTATTTTGAGGGAGTGGGCGGAAGGCTTCGCGGGAGCGTGTCTGGGCGGCATTCGGGGTGTTCTGGGTGTTTTTTTCTTCAAAATCCAGGTTTCTGAAATGTTTTCTGCCGTTCTAGTTTCAACGAAGAAGAGACTTTCTCTCTCCAAATCCCATAAATTTCCATAATAATTACTTCACTCAGCCCTTATTTCATTTTAAATACCCTATAAATACTCCACTCAACCCTTTATTTTCGCCATTTATTTCATATTAAATACCCTATAAATACTCCACCCCATTTATTTCATTTTAAATACCCTATAAATACTCCACTCAACCCTTTATTTTCCCTTAAATTCCCATAATTATTGTTTTATATCATTTTAAATACCCTATAATTACTACACTCAACCTTTATTTCCTTTTAAATTACTTATAATTGCAACATTCAACCTTTATTTTGCTTGAAATTTTCCTATAATTGTGACCATTCATCTATGGCATTCGTGTTGTGTTTCCCATGTTTGTGTCGTTTTCGTGTCATATCCGAAATCTTAACGGGTCGTGTCGTGTAACACCCGTTAAAATAAACAGGTAAAATGACCCGACCTGAAATCGACCTGATAATATTAACAAATAATATAACCCGACCCGATAATATTAACAAATAATATAACCCGATCCGTTACCCGTTAAGGAAAATATATTTTAAACCAATAAATAATCAAATGAAAAACATAATACTAAATAAGTATATACATACCATATTATCACATTCAAAACATAAAAACGCATTTGTCTTTCAAGTATTACATATTTACATACCCAAAATTAGAGCATAATAAATAAAATAGAAAACATTAGAACATTACAAAATATCAAATGTTTAAAAGATTTACAAAATTAAGGGAGTTATGTTTCAAGGTTTGGAACCTTGCACATTTTCTTACAATCAAACTCTTCAATTTTCATCAATCACCATGGGAAACAATATTGGAACTTTGACTTGATATATTGTCAAGAGTTATATTGATGATATTTTCAGTGAGGCTTTCTACATTAGCACTCTCTTCTCATTTATCCTATGGCTATTGTTTAAGTAAAGTCTTTAATAGTTTTTTAATTAATGTAGAAGTGTGAAAAATATAGAAAAAATATATAAACGCTCGTAATGACAAGCTTTACAACTTTCGTGAAGGGCATATCTTTGAAATGTGCCACTATAATCATATAAATCATAGATCAAAATTTAACCGTCGATTGTTGTTTACATTTGTGCTTCATTTTTCTCACCAAATTTTGTTTTTTTTTTTCAGATTTTCTTTTTTGAAAACATGATCTATTAGAGGATACAGGAAGATGAACGGTTCGGATCGTTGATATTATGTTCAGAGTTTTAACGTTAGTGAAAATATTGCTTGGTGTTTATAAAGTCTCTACAAACTATATAACATCGACTCATATTTCAATTAACCGTAAATATCGGGACGTGATATCAAAGATCCGAACTGTTGATCTTCCTACATCCCCTATAAGATCATGTTTTCAAAAAAGAAAATTTAAAAAATGAAATTCAATATAAAAAATAAAGCCTAAACGACAATCGATGGTTAAATACAAATTTAAGGTTTATGGATTATAGTGTTGGATTTCGAAGTTGACCCCTTTACGAAAGTTGTAAAGCTTGTCACTACAAGGGATTGTGTGTGTGTGTATATATATATATATATATATATATTTTTTTTTTTACATTTCTTACACTTCTACAATAATTATTATTAATTTTATTACTTTTACACTCAAGTAAAAAATACTATTCATGACGGTTTGGAGGGTTTTAAAAATCTAAACGATAACGTAGGCGTAATCATTGTCTACTCGTGAAGGAATGATGAATCACGAGTGTTTATATATTCTTTCATATTTTTCATACTTGTAGGGATGTCTTATTGCCTATACTAATACTATACTAGTTGATTTTAATTTTGGACAACATGTTAAGTAAAATTTATCCTATTAATGGTAATAAGAAACTCTCATAATAAAAATAAATAAATGAATAAAACTTAATTTTTTTAACTTATATAGAATAATAACACAAAAATATATATTTAATATAGAATATACCAATATATATATGACTATTGTATGTTATAATAATTATTTTAGTAATTAAACTTTAAAATTATAATTTATTTTTCTTAATGGGTCGAAATGGGTTGCCCACGTGTTACTCGTGCATGTATCCGTTAAGAACCCATTATTAACAGGTCACCCAATAATGACCCAATTAGTTATCATATTGATCCGAAACCTGTTCTTTTCTTGTCGTTTTCGTGTCGTGTCACCGTGTCATGTAAGAAACTGCCGGGTTTACATTCATCCTTAGTTTCCTTGAAGTTCTCTATAATTGCTTACAATAAAATAAATAATTATAACAGTTTGAGACTATATGACATGGTTTCCAAGTACAACTAGACTTAGTAATAAAGAAGATGATATTATCTTTGATTTAGTTATAGTTATATTTGTTTTTACAAAGTATTAAATTGTTTTAAATATACTTATATATATAATATATATTAAAATTTTAGGTTTGAAGCCTTACACCTCACGCCTTGCGCCTAGGCTGGGCTATCCATTGGACGCCTTGGCCACACCCCCACCTTTTAATACATTGCTCAGAAGTCAGTGTTTTGGTCACAGAATTTGACCATGGGATTTAATTTTTGAGTTAGTGAAGTCTTGGAACCACTTTCGTAGATTTTCATTTTAGCTTCCCAATTTGTATCTTTGTGTTCATCACTCAAATGGGATTATGCGTGCCCCTTGGCCCTTCAGATTTCCTAATGGCATTATACTCCTCTCTCTCTCTCTCTCTCTCAATGGAATTATGCTTGATCTCCCTTGGCCCTTCAGATTTCCTGATGGCATTACATTATTTAGTTACCTCTAGTTTTCAAGTATCATGCCTTCTTTGTCCATATAGCCCAGTTTATATATTATTTTCTTTTCTTTTATTTCCTCGCATTAAACTGCCCTCCTTACTTTTTATCGTGCATTAGCCTAGTTTACATGTGACCTATGATCGGCTATTAATACAATCATTTCTTTATCAATCTTTTTGGTATTTCAATCTTAGATAATCAATTATTATACTCATGAGGTGGTAGGAATTTGATATTTGTACAGATGACTAAACTTGTGTAATTAATTTATTCATAAATATATTTGGTTCCACTGAATGAACTTGGCCTATGGGCAACACCAAGTTGTACAGTAGATTTTGTTCAATCTTAATAGTTTTAGGGAGTATTTGGTCATGATTCCTGACACTTTGTGCTTTTAGGAAACATCGGTACTGCGGAGCAAGCTTTTAGAACATGAAAACCTTGTTAAGTATGCTGATAGGCTTAAGGTGGAGTTTGTGGACTCAGGTTCACCATCTTCAGTTCCAAACTTTCATGGAAACTCTTCATCAGCAGCTCCTAGAAGAGGTCCTTCAAACTCGAGTGAGATACTTTTACATTCAAGGCTTGTGTCTCTCTATTTATCTTTTTCCATACTATAATTTAAAGGATTTATTGCCTTTACCAAACCGGATCATTTTTTGCTCCGTTTTCTTTTTCTTTAGTGAACCTCTGTTCTTATCGTGGAAAATTCAAGAGTAGATTTGGCTTGCACACATGCAGTTTCCAACACCATATTTTTGCTTTAGAAAACATAGTAATTTACTTCGGAGTGTTAACAGTTAGAAACTTGAGCAAGTCGCACATTAGGCCTCTCTTGAAGTGGAAGCTGCATTTTGCAGCTCGGAATCTGAGATCATGTGATACTTCCCGCTTTCTAGCATAACTAATGCAAGAGCTGACTAATAGGGACATGGGTGATATAAATCATCTGAAGGAGGTAGATTGTAGGTTTTTGATGAGTTAGCATATCCACTTTGCATGTGGACTTTAACATGCAAGTTTTCCAGTTGTATAGATGCGGCAACCTATTTGTACATACGGCATTCATGGGATTGAAGTTTTATTTAATCATATTGGTTCTATCTGATATATTTATCAGGGTCACCTAGGTCGCAACTTAATTCTCCTCAAATGCAATTTTTCTTATGCTTATTTGTTATCAGGTTCTAAGCCCAAGAGTAAACCCAAAAGGGAAGAGACAAAGGAGGAGAAAAGTTTTAAGAGAAGGGCCAGATATTTTTTAACAGCACAGCTGGTTTCAGTTGTACTTTTCGTCACTCTCCTAAGTCGAGTTGATGAGGCTGATGTCGAGGTTGATGATGATGGGTATGAATAGTTGTGTTCTTAGCACCAGCATTTTTTACATGAAAACCAGCTAGGATTAGCAGCCTGACGACGAAGAGAGAATTTCTGTAATCCCGTTCTTTCAGTTTTGTAGTATGACGTTGAAATTTTGGGAAAATAAGCACCTGTATAAATACATGATATGATTTGCTGGAAAGTTGAAGTTAGAAACCTAGAATTGGAGGTATTCTTCACCTGCAGGATTCCAATGTTCGACTTTTGAAGCAGTGCTGACAATTTGTAAATTTCATTGGATATGAATTGGTGAGAAGGGTTTAACTGTGATGCAATTTCGTACTTTTATGTTTTTGGCCCTCGTGCGCTTTGTTTTTTTTTTCTGTGGAAATTCTTTGTTGATTTCTTAGAAAGGAAGTTACAATGTCACATATACAGTAAGACTGAATTCTGGAACCCATCAGCTGGGTGTGTTTTGACAGAGGTCATGGTGCTGCTAGGATGCATTCGTTTAACTTCTAGCCGATGTTCGAGCACCTGGATTAGGGTTTTGAACGTTTTGGTGCCTCGCTGAGCCGTATCAATCGGCGACTGCATCGGAGTAGTTTGGACAGCCTTGGTTGATTTTACACGGGATCTTGTTGTTTCCAAATGAATTAGTATTTTGCTACATTTACTACAGTCCAGGTTCTAAACGAAAAAAAGGCAGCACTTGGATTGGATTTGTAGTTCAATGGTGGTTCCGGCGTGTGATTATTTTCGAAGACAAGACATGACTTGGTTACGGTGCAGGGAAGAATTGAAGGCAAGACCTCGTAGATTAATTATACCCCTCAGCTGACGCACTCTGATCCGAAATATCCATTAGGACTTCAAATCGAGCTGTGATGGCCGACATCTGGAAGGTGACGAAGTCATATAGTGTAGTGATGTGGAAAATGTGAATAAATTTAAACCTAAAGTGCCTAAGTACAAGAGTGCACTTGTGAGCGAGAATGAACCTATTTCATACGTGATGACAGAACATAAGTAAAGTACAGTAAGGTAAAATAAGGATTATACCATCAAAAGGTAGCCATTTATACTGAGATTTGCCAAGAATCCTCGTCGATACATAAGCTCAGCTACTAAAACCTAGAGGGGCAAAAAACAAGGATGAGTGGGCCTAAAAATAAAGATTTATAAAAACCTTTTTAAAAAAACATTATAACCCCTCCCCATAAAACAAGTGTAGTTTCCAAAATATACATACTATGTATAGTATGAAAATACTTACCATAGCTTACAAAATCACAGAATGCCATACGTCACAATATTGCGTAAATAAACATACACCAGCCAATATCATATAATCTCGCATAAACAATGTCATATCAAGTGCTCATCGACACATGCTAACACACGAGTTCATGTAGATATATTCTGACATGAACATGACTGGGTGTAATAATGATATACACTCTAGTACTACAATCACGTGAAGACTGACACTATGCGCAGCACATACGAGTTAGAGTTGCCTATGACAACCTATACGACAGGACTGACACCTACAATAGATCCAAAGTGAGCATATTGTGCGATGTGCACATATACGTGAAAGACTGGCCCTGACCTGAGCGAGTACCAACACCAGTGTAGCAAACGATGAGCAAATACTATAAATATAGTCATGTCACAACCATTCAACAATTCTAGTCAATATCATACTATTCATGACCATAAATATAATCAAGGCATCCCCTTATAGTAAGCTTACCTATGCATCTCGTAGGATTATTTCATCATTTCCCAACATTAAGGTATTTCTTATAAACGTTAATTTAATCATGGCAATCGCATAGAGAATTTATTAATGATTGTATATATGGAAACTAACCAATATAAATATAAGAAAAGACCCACTCACAGATCATGTTGTCGAGTCGAACCCGTTTGAACTAGAATAGCCGAAGTCACCAATAATAATCGCACCTAAGCATAATATTAGGACCCATTAGTAAAACTCCACTAAAACAATTAAATTTGGGAAAACGGGGTGCAGATTTGGAATCAGGGTGTCGAAATACGCTAACGAGGTTCCCTGACATATTTTACAAGAAGTCAACCGAGACGCCCCGGTGGTCAACTACGTTCAAACTTTATAATTTCACTAAATGGATGTCAAAAACGGACTCGGGACGTCGAAATTAGCCTAAGAGGGTTTCCGAAAAATTTCCGAAAAAGACAACATAGAATATTCCAAAGAATATTCTTGAGAATATTCCTAACCCAACTCAGAAATGGGTCTAGGCCGGGTTTTTGGCTTAAGGCCCTTTTTTTTCCTTCTTCTCTTATTTTCTTCTTCTCCGGCAAGTCGCCCGATTTTGAGCAGAAATTTCCGAGCTCCATACGAGCTCAAAACTCAACCATTTTTCACCTTCTTCCTACCAAAATGAAAAATGAGTGTAGTTTAGGATTATACCTTCCCCCTGAGTCACCTGTGGCTGGAGTTGGCTTGAAAAGGTATGCAACTCACATCATATATCACCTGAAAACTAGGGAAGACTCCCTGAGGTAGCTCTGCGTTCAAATATCACCCAAAATCCTTAAGAGCACTAGAAACGTAAAGTAAAACACAATCCATGAATATTTGGGTGGTTTTTGGAACTTACCATCGTCGGAGGTTGAGATCTCGTTGGAGAAAATATAAACAGTGATGGTGTCATTGTGCAGAGTGAGGAAGAAGGAGAAAGAGGTTTTTGCCAGTAGGAGATTGTAGTTGAAGGAGTCTGGGGGTTGCGGTGCTTGCTGGAGACGACATCAAAAGGTGGTGGTCTGGTGTCGGCGTTGTTGCAGAGGTGGAACAAGGGAAATAAATGAGGGGGAGATATGTATGATGAGAGACAGAGAGGGGTGGTCTGGTGATAGGAGCATATTTATGCGACTTAGTTAGCTTGTTTCTTGGCATTTATGTTGTTAGTTTGTAGTTATTTTAGTATTTTAACCTATTTTCGTGTGTTTGTAGGTCCAAAGGGTTAATGTGGCAAAGAAGTGCATTTTGGAGCATTTTGGAGCATTTTTGGGCATGGAATGGATAACATATGCTTGGAGCAAAAGGAATGGACGAAATTTGAAGTTTGTGCATCATCCTCTTTCTATAAATAACCATTTTAGCACACTCATTTCACCCAACACATCCACTTATTACAACCACCCAACACATTCACCTACCACTACATCCACTCATTTCACCCAACACATCCATTCACCTACCACTACATGTTGGAAATGTGCCCTAAAACCAATCATATGATGATACTTTACGGACATTTCACATGTTAACTAATCTAGTTTAATATCAAGGGCAAAGATTATTGTTTGAGCCGTCTCATATAAATGTTATACGCTTAAACGATAAGTCCAAGGAATATGTGATTGGGAGAATGCGATCTAAAGAAGTTAGATTCATATGACCATTCTTTCGTAGACACATCCTAAACGTTCCTGATCATAGGATTGCCAATTGGGCATTGATAGTCCGTTAAGATCAGTACGTGATGTGTCTTCTCTCAGAGAGAGTGACTAGTCTCGAGTCATTGGTGTGTGTGACATCAAGACAAGTACATAGGTGCTCAATAGAGAATGAGTTCACTGAACACGATCAACAAAGAGTTCTCATATTCATGTCACATGAGAACTCATGGTTGGGATAATGCAAAGTAGTCCCTTGACCTGAGGCATCATAGTTGTCTTGTGGTTAGGTACTTGATCTTTGATTATGTCAAAGTCACCCCATCCGCGGGTGTCCACGGCATCGTCGGGGTTAAGCCACTTAGCCATGGAGGCAAGTGAATGCGCAACAAGGGATCTCTAACCTTCAAACCGTTTGGGGGAGAATACTCTATGATATGATTAAGAATCTCTGGCCAGAGTATGAATGAGATTTAGGAAGTCGTTCCAAATCACATTTAAGGTAATCATATAAGCACACGAATCACATTGGATAGTAGACATGAATAAACTATCAAACCAAACAATGTGGTCAAGAGTATTGTATTAGAGAAAGACCGTATTGCATTTGTAATCCTAAACTGAATAGGTTCTCCACCTCTTCTGATTAGCTTGGGTAACCATGATATGCTGCTAGGTGTCACTCATGGTTTGTGGAAGCCCTAAACGTGTATAATCACTACAGGGAGAATTGAAAGTAAGTTTCAATTCACAATCGATTGAAATGGTTTTAATCGCCCACTGCCTTGCTAAAAGGAACCTAATGGATCGTACACCGTGTAAGGTGGAGATTGAAGAAACAATGGAGATGAGTAAGAATAATTAAATGGTTTAATTATTTATGGCAAGGATTAATTAATATGTTAATTAATCAAACGAATAAGTTCGTTAAAGACCTCGGGATAGTTTTGGACCTTAAGGCCCAATGGGCTTCGAACGTCAAGCCCATTGACTTAAGTTGTATGACAACTTAATGAATAATGATTCACAAAGGCCCAATTAGCCCAATAATACCCTAAGGCCGGTCATTTAGAGATGGAGTGAGTTTTGGACTTATTTACAAGTTTGCCACTCCAATGAATTAAGGTATAAATATGACTGTATAGCCAAAATTCATTTAGGGTTTTCTTTTGGGGAAAGGATGAGAACGTAAGCTCTCCTTTCTCTCTAAAGTGGCCGGCCTCCTTGGAGGGTTTAGCTAGCAATCCTACTACTCCAAGGTCACTCATTTCTTCTCCAATCTAACCTTGGTGAAGAGACTTAGAGGTTCTCAATTTTGGGAACTTGGAGAACCATTTCATCCATCCAAATCCATAGATCTAAGATGCAAGGAATGAAGGCCCTCTCTTTGGGTGATTAGCCTTTGCTTATGCAAAGAGGAATCTACAAAAGTATAATTTCTCAACTCACTTTGTTTTGAGTTGAGTCTTGGTTCACCCAACTACTAGGCTTTGAATTTCATGGTTAATGTTTTGTTTTTAAGTGCATACAAGCATGATTCCGCCTTTAATTTGTTAATTGCATGCTATAGATGTTGCTTAAATGAACATGTTTTTCACAAAATTTCCTTCACTACATCCACTCATTTCACCCAACACATCCACTCATTACAACCACCTAACACATTCACCTACCACTACATCCACTCATTTCAACCACCCAACACATTCACCTACCACTACATCCACTCATTACCACCACCCACTACATCCTCTACCTAGCCTATAAATATATCCATCCAAAGACACATTCAGGGGGACAATTTAGGGAGAAGGGAGGAAGACACATTCTGCCACAAAGCAGAGTCTTTTCTTCTTAACCATTCTACACATTCCCACAACAAAAACACGATTTCATGCA